ATCTTACAGAAATGGAGCAGAGATTCTGCTGTCCTTTTCACAGGACCTGTCCAAATAGAAGCCCACTTCAACAGCTGTGTAACTACACATCACGTTTTAGAGAGACTAACAGAAGGGCAAGAAGGAATTCCCAACCATCCCAATAGAACCAACACAGTTCTACCAGAACCACAAAGAGATGCCACTGTTAGATAGGACTTGCACAGCCACAAGACTTTTACTGGCATGGCAGAGATAACAAGATATGATCCCACAAAGATAAGGCTTCCACAAACACGATTTCTTTTAAGGAAAAACAAACCTTCCAGCAAGAAGTCTCCTCACAGACTTAAAGAGATCTCAGTAAGTTAAAGGGAGACCACTTAAAGTTATGCTATCCATTAAGTCACTTCAATTCAAAAGTTACTTGATGAGTAGCGGGATTATACCCTAAAACTTCCTGAGACACACACAAAAAGCTCAATCCAAAGAATAACACAGCCATGACAATAAAGGACATAACTAAAGTAAAGCTTTAAAGGAAGATGCTTTTCCTTAACAGAAGCCTTCCATGCACTGAAATGCCCTCTTCCTTCAACCACAAGCAAGCCTTCCCTGCAAGCCTTGCCTTACTTCAAAGCACTGCAGATTCAGAGGAATTACTTCCAAACAGCAGGGCAGAAAGCAGTAATACAGAACAATTTCCTTCTGGCCAAAGAGGAAATTGATGCTGTAAGCAGGTTATTTCCCAGATTTTAATTAAGCATACGCTCTAATACCGATGCAGACAAACACAGCACAAGACCCAAACCATCAGATAAACATTCCTAATGTTGGAAATAAGCAGCACAGAAAATGGAAAACTGCAGGACTGAAGCTTTGTTTTGTAATGTACAGTAAGAAGCTTGAGACTCCCAGCCTAAATCAGAAGTCTACTGTATAGTATGCTACAAGGAGCAGAAGAAAGTACATCTCCTGCACACAGGCTCCAGCTCAAGGGACAGGATGATAGCCAGACAAGTAATTCCAAAGAAAGAAGGGCGTACAGCAAAAAGGCTCATGCATTCATAACAATAAGCTCACTCAACCACTGTCTAGCTGTTGCAGTTCAGCCAGTGGTAGAGGATGGCACTAAGGACTTCCCTGCAGTACTCAAAGCAGAGGCTGAGGCAGCTCCGTTGGTGTTTGTGAGACCCTCGTGATGAGATAACAGCATCTATATCTGCCACTCCTCTTTCAGGATCAACAAGGTAGAGACAAAATCCCGTCCTTGGAAGGCCAGCTTGGATGTGGCTCTGGGCAGCCTGGTCTAGCGGCTGGCAACCCTGCTCAAGGCAGGGGGGTTGAAACTAGATGATCCCTGAGGTCCTTTTCAACCCAGGCCATTCCATGATTCTAGGAAAACAAGGAGCCTTTAGTGCCAGCCTGAAGGTTAGCAGCTCTGACAGCTGGGACTGTCAGATTCTCCATAGCATGCCACTCTCAATGACAGCTCAAACTGACCAAGAAGAAAAACAGTTTATGCATGTAGCTTCAGGACCCACATAGAAATGATTTTGTTTAAAGCCTTAATGACAAGCAAAAAAAAGCACTTCTTTCAGTAAAAATGGTCACTGTTTTGAACAGTTGAGTGTCAAAAAGAAAACCAGACACAAAGCAAGGACAGCCTAGACTAGTTTTAACCATATGGCTAGACACAAAAGATCATATCTCAGAGATGCCATGGAGAAAGAAAGAAAAAAGTTAACATATAATCCAGATAAAGATCTAGGGAGAAGGCAGAAATGACAGGCTGAGAGAAAGGAATGTGGTAAAAAGGTTTTCCTCATGATTTCCATAGCTTTCTTCAGAACCCTTTCTAAAAAATGAAATGCAGTTGTGTCATGTGTCTATTGCAAAAACAACAACTTCCAAACAGCTGATTCCTGTCGGAGCAACAGGGATTCTACCTTCAGTAAGAAGCTATGCTGCTACTGCACATCTTCAGCAGAAAAATTACGAGTTCTCCTTGAGAACAGTGGGATGAAACTGGTACCTCTTTCCTGAAATTGAAACGGTTCTGTTGTTAATTTACTGCTGTCTAAGAGCAGCAAGACCTTGCACTTCCTTTCCTAGTCACACCGACTGTGTTTGAATGGAGATAATACAAATGCCTCAGAAAATGAAGAGATGCATCACCTTCCTCTTGCTGCCAAGCCAAAAACCTGCCGTTTGATCAAACTGAAAAGGAGCAGGGAGCAAAAGAGAAGCTGTCCACAGAGGTGAGCAACCTTCCACTCCTTCAATTGCCTCTTACAAAAGGGCACTGAGTTTCTATCATAAGATGCTCAAGAGCATCACTGTGCCTCTTCAAGAGGCAACATGGACAAAATGGTTAAGAGCTATGATCCATGTCAGTTTAGTGTTTGCATCAAGAAGCCAAATACTGTTAGAGCCTTACTAACTACCTACCCTAACTACCTCAAAATTCATAAGAAAAAGCTGGAACAGACAAGTAATTCAGTGTCTCCATCCCAAAAGCTTGGTTGAAACCCAGATGTTTTCACACCCTTCACAAGCCCTGGCTACATGCTGATCTCTCACACACAGTACCAAGAGTGCATGTTTGCATTCCCCCAAATGTGTTTTCCCTTTCTCCCCCTCCCTTGCGCAATTATAACAGAAGATGTCATTCAGCTCGGGAGGGAGGAGGAGAAAAAGGAAGGAAAGGGTGGTGATCTGATGTGCCTACATTGGCTCACCTCTTGCTGTCTGTTGTGTTGGTCTCCCCTCCTAACAAAGAAAAAGTGCCTGCCTCTTGCACTTCATCACGTCTTTTCCAAATTGCAGAATGAATGCTAGATCGGTATCATTACTGCTTTATTGCCACCTCTGTAATTGCAAGCAGCATTTCCACAGCTGGCATTTCAGTTAAAGCCACATAATAATAACATACTACAGAGGTAAGACAAGCCCTAACAGCACGTGTGTTTTACTGGTGTAAGTGACTCCGTGCTTGGACCTTACATATCACAGATCACAGCCCTGAAAGAGAGCTACTTGGATGGAAAACTGTAACCGTAAGCTGAAGGATGTTTCCATCCCACGCTGTTCAGATGTATATCAAGCAGCAGAGAATGGATTCCTAGAACACTGTGCTAGATGCAGCATGGCTGAAGCAAGCTTTGACCAGACTGCTATCACAGCCAAATGGCGATGGGATCAAAACACCTAAGCCTTCTCTAGGGTAACAGCACCGAATTAAAACTGTAACAACAACAAAGGTCCATCCACGGGCTCCACTGCTGCTCTCACCAGTTTTCTGCGACAGTCAAGAAGTGATGCCATTTGGAACAAAGACAGACAACATCATCATGGACAGTTCTCCCTCTCCCTTTACCTTGAGCTGTGAATTCCACTCTAAGATTACGCTGGCAATACAGCCACTGTGTGTGCAAAGCAGGGCGGGCGGGGGAATAAAAAAGGAGAGTTAATCCATGAGTGGATTAAGCAAGTGACTGAGAAGTCATTCTGAAATCCTGCAAGCAGAGAGGAGCACATTCAGCTGAGGACCAGCTTTGCCCCAACTTTCTCTAAAAGCAGAACAGCACCAGCCCTGCGCTACCATGCACACACTGGTAACTAAGCCCTCAAACAAGTAACAGCACCGTAGTCTTCATGGAAGGAGAGCAGCATCTGCAAATCAGCTAAGCTTTCTCAAGAGGCACATTTGCAAAATGCTCCTAAATGCGAACAGAGGAAGGTTAAAAGCAGGATATGTAAAACCACAGAGGTAAGCAAGCCTAAAATAAAATGTCATTGTGACCTCAGCCACCAGTGTTCAGGTTTACACCAGGAATACACTGTCACATACCACTTACCAGTCCTTTCTTAACACACAGAATTAGTCAAGGACAGGATTTATACTCAGGACTTCCTGAAGACAAACATTCTGATTCGAGTCATTCATAACCCATGCAACCATTAGTTATGTTTTCGCCATAAATACTTTTAAGTGACTGTTGAAAGGAAAACCTAAATGGTCCTCCTGTAGCATAAGAGGAGTTTCCCTATCCATTGCTTTAAGGACTGCCAGATGTCCGAGTCCATCAATTAGCTACAAGGTACAACCTTTTGATTGCAGACTAAGATACGAATAAGTGCACACCTAGTGAGCACTTATATACTTCTATTGTCATCCATATGTACTGCAGCAAGCTCCAAGCTACATATAAATGTAGCTGTTTTATAACCAGAGTCTGAATTTGTCATTCTCAGCTGCAGATCAGCACGTAGCAGATCTTCTGGATGACTTAAAGCAACACTGTCACCTTCGATCCTACAATCCTGAGTTTAGTTTCATGCAAGTGAGCGTCCATGGGATCTCAGAGCAGTGGAAACACTCCTGTGATTAAAGAAGTTAATTCCCACATGGCCAGTTATTCTTACCAAACACATCCCCGCAGGATAACCAACACAAACACAAAGCCCTTGAAATGGGACACTGAAAAATACATAGAATAAGCACACTCTCAGCAAGAAACGAAGAACGACGGTATTAGTAGGACCACAGAACAAAGAAGACTGTTCAGATAGATGCTTAGGTACGAGTTTCGAGTGTACACTCGAAATCTCCAGTATGGATTTTTAACTTGTCGCTTTCAGTCTGTAACTAGGACGGGCTCCAACGCGCTGTCAGTTCCGTGCCCGGATAGCCCACCGCCAGCCTTTTCACTCAGCTACCCCTAAACCCTCTACGGCAGTGCGGGCCGTCCCACGCGAACCGCAGAACCAACGACAGCGCCGAGCCTCCGAGCCTTCCGGCCGGGGTCAGAAGATCCGCCGGCACAGAAAGCAGCGCAGCGGAGCCACGCGGAGCTCCCAGCAGCGTCTCTCCGCCCGCCCCGTCCCGCGGCCAGCGCCGGCCGGCCCGCACCGACCCCACCTGCGCGGCCTCCAGCAGCGCGGAGCCGTGCGGCGGGACCGCGGGCTGCCGCTCCGACGGAAGGAGCTCCGCGCCGCTTTGTTCGCCGCTCCCGCACCTTAAGCGCATCCAAAAGACCCGCGTCCCCATCGGAACAAGACGGCGGAACGCGGAAAGGCGGCAGAAACGCGGGCACGCCCGGCACCGAGCGCGCCTCAGCCAGAAGCGGGGCCGGCAGCCCGCGCGGACCGAACCCGAACGCGCGATCCCGCCCGGTCGCGGGGGCGCCGCGCAAGGCGCCGCGACGGAACGCCGGGAGCGCGCCGCGATACTGCGGCAGGCGCGGGGCGACGAGCCGAGCGGCGCCCAGAGCTCTGCGGCACCGCGTCCGGCTCCGTCCCGCCGAGCGTCGCCCCCCTCCCCGCCTCGGGGCTCGCCGCCCTCCCGCACTTGCCTTCGCCTCATGCCGCCCGTGGCGCTGCCGGCGGGGCTCGGCGCGGCCCGGCTGGCCCTGCCCGCCGCGGACGGAGGGGCGGCGGCGCGCGCGCGCACACCTTGGCAACCCGCGCGCGGAGCGAAGAGCGCCGCGAGGGAGGAGCGCGTGCCGGAGAAACGCCTCCGCCCCCCGCCCCGCTCTCATCAGCGGGAGGGCAGCGGCTCCTGCCGCCGGGCACGCGGAGCCCTGAAAGAGACAAGTGGAAGGATAAGGAAAAAAAGACCACGCAGCCGGGCGCGGCGCGCCGCCGCAAAGGGACGCGGCGCCCCTCGCACCCCCGCGCTCGGCGGCGGTGGTACGCTCCACGCTCTCGAATCGGACAGGCCCGGCGCCGATTGGCCGCGCGGCGGGGCGAGGCCAGGGCGCGCCAAACGGGGTCGGAGGAGCGGAGATGAGAAAGGAAGGGGGCGGCCCGAGACGCGACCGCTTAAAGTGCCCCGGGCGGCGCGGCGGGAACGCGCGTCAACAACCGTTGGGCTGCGCGTGCCTGCCCGCAGACGGATATACCTACCGGGGCGGCCGCCGCCCCTCCCCGGCTTTCCCTGCCCGCCGCCGTCGCACCCAACTGCGGTGTTCGCTCCCCGCGTGAGAGGCGCACCTCGGCTGCCCCCGTTAACCGCCGCGAGGGTTGGGAGGCGCGTAGAAACCGGCGGGAGGAAGGTGTGGATCGGAGCTTGCAGTGGCTGGAGAGGCGCTTATAAAGTCATCGCGAGGAAGAGCTAAATATATTTTTGTTTAGGGTTGGCTTGGGAGAAGCTTGGAGCTGTGGTCATGGCAACTCCTCCTGTTTGGGTCGCGTCGTGCTCTCAGAAATCGCTGCTCGCGTGCGTGCTCTGTGAGACCGAGAGAATTACGTCAAGTGGATGAATCCGTGATGAATATCGCAGAATAACAGCGTAACGTGAAGCATTGTCAGCCGCTGTCAGCTGGTTCTTGTATGACAGATCCGCCTAGGTTGGAAATCATCTCCAAGAGCAAATCCAGCCATCAGCCTGGAGTCCCATGGCTAATCGTGTCCCTCAGTGTCACATCCGCACATCTCCAGGGATGGAGGCTTCACCGCTTCCCTGGGCAGCATGCTCCAACGCCTCACTGCCTCTCTGTTAAGAAATCCTTCCTTATATCCAATACAAACCTCACTGGAGCAACTTAAGCCTTATTACCTGTCACCTGAGGGCAACACCCTACTGAATACAAATTCCTCTCTGGAAGTTTTAGAGAGCAATGAGGTCTACCCTAAGCCTCCTCTCATCTAGGCTGAGCAGCCCCAGCTCTCTCAGTCACTCCTCATAACTCATGTTTAATAACAAAATCCTATTCTTCAGGAGGGTACTGAGCAGAGCATACAAATGTGTAAAATACAAGTACATAGGTTTGTATGTACATGCATACTTCTAAATGGTCTCAGAAGCTACTGCTTACTAAGAGTTCCCTACATCTGGAATAATAGTCAGGAAGAGCACTTTCCATCCAGCATTTATATATACCCAATATGTCTGTATGCATACATATATTTGTATAACATTTATCTATAAATACTTTATCTCTGTCTGCACCACTGTGTGTAAGCATAACCACATAGATGTGCTATCTTTGCCCACACTATGTTGAGTATGCCAGGGGAGTCAGCTGATGTACACCTGAACAGAGAAGGAATGCAAACCAGTACAGAAGCACTGTGAATAATCCAGGAATTAGGAATCAAGAACAAACTCAGGATTATGTCGTAACAACATCGTTAATACAAAAGTAGTCCACTGTTCCTTTCAACAGGCCTTTCCAGCAGAGGTAATTCAAACATCTGTTATATCCAGATCCATATAGTTCCAATCTCATATGAAAGCCACAATTTTCCAACTCTACCTTAACAGAAGTTTTGATCTTCAGAATCAATTAACTGTGTGGGGCTTGATTTTGACATGAAAAGCAGTCAGGTACAATAACATCCAAAACAAAATGGATACCATTCATAAAAGATGCACAAAATGAGCTCACGGCATGGCTGTGGAAATTCTTACTACTGTGTGGTGCAACAAATATCAACCTGAAGTGCACAATTCCCAAATCACTATCTATATCCCTGTCTGAGAACAGATGGAGGAAAGCCTTCAGCTGATACAAACTTGGCTCAACCCACTCTAATTACTGATGGAGTTTCCATGAGCATTGAAATTAGAGCTACCAGTTGCAATCAGTAGAGAGCCTGCTGAGTCAGCTTACGTGTGGAAAATCTGGCAAAGAGATCTGTCCTCACCTGAGTAGTGCATATGTTCATACCCGTGCAAGTACCAGATGGCAGTCGCACCTGCATCAGTGAATATTCCTGCCTCTGAAACCAACCATGGTTAATGAGTGGGGTAGTAGTTTTCTGCAGGTGAGGCAGCAGCTCTTCCTAACTTGATAACCAAATAATCAACATCTCCTTCCCTACAAAGACGTGAGATGAGGATGTGTTAGATTATGATGTGTTAGATTATTGAAAAATGGAAGTAGATGGAGGAGAGCATATGCAACACAAAAGACTTTTTAAAATGCTCCCAAAGAGGCCAATGCACATGGTGTGTCCATTGATTACTGGCTGAGCACTTGGCCTCTGGACAATCAGGAGGGCTATCAGTTTAACAGTAATCTTTGTAAAATGCTAATAAGGACCTGAATAATTCCCATTAGGGAATTGAAGAGCCATCTGCACTCAGAATGAAGCTGTCTATGGCACCCACAGCAGGACTCTGTCTGTACATTTTGCCTTGCTATCTTGGAATCCAGTGGCAGAGAGCCTTAGTCATATGACAGGGTTATTTGCATCATTACACTGTCCTATTCCCAGAGGAGTTTTCACAATGCACTGTAAGAGGAAGAGTTTAAACAAGCAGAACTAAAGCAAAAACAAAGCACTGTGCTTCCTTTACGTGTCTCCTTTTACTGCATGCACGTGGTGTTCAGAGTGGGAGGAGGGTGGAAAGCAGTATCAGAGAGAACTTCAGGCTAATAAAACACACCCTTGAGAGCACACAAGAAAAAGGGGCTGCAAGATCAGTACAAAAAGGGTTACTCCATATAAAAAAGCTCAGAAAGCTGAAATTCTGCATTGCAGCCTAGTAGAATACTGACGTTCCAGACTTGTAATGTGCAAGGTGAGCCCATTGCTGTGTGTTCCCTGAGGCTTTTACAGTTCTGCTGTTTAGCACTGGGCTAGATAACAATCACCTCACCCCAGCAAAGCAGTGATTCTCTGTGAATGAGTGCCTGCAAGCACTATAAAACTGGGTGCCTCCGGTAAGCTGACCAACAGTCAAGGCAGTAGTCCCAAACCAAGCCAGAGGAAAAATATTGTCATTCAAGAGTGAGTTCTTGAAAGGCAGTGAGCTGCTGCTGCTCAAAATAAGGTCACGTTATGGTACAGTGCCCCATTTTGAAAAATCAGTACATAAAAACAGGGCCTGATTTTTTATATATTCAGTTTCTAAAATAAATTACTAAAGGTTCGTGAAAGCCAGCTGCTGCTCCTGGTTAGACAAGGATTATAGCAAGGAAGACAGTTACAGAAGGAAACCCAAGGAAATTTTTAGTATTTTCATGGTATCAAAGCTGTTTTCACGTTAAAAATGTCCAGGGAATCTTACATTCTCTTCTGAAGACTTTCCAAAGCTCAGAACTTGCCAGGTGGATGGCCACTCCTGTGGGAATTTGTAATCTCTTTAAATACTGAGAACAGCAGATTCCATCATAAGCATACAGTCCTGGAGTAGAGTCTGGGACGCTTTGGGAGTTACCAAGCAAAAGCACAGCACAAGGATTTTCAAATGAGGAGACAATTGCTGAGTTACAGGGCAGGCTGGGAGGGATGCTGAGAGGTCATCTAGCTCCATCCCTGTGAAAGCACCTCTATCCTATCTGTTTTACTCTTAGAGACCTCCAAGGCTGAAAACACCAAGATCTACCCAGGCAAGCTGTTCTGCTCGCATGATTATCTCTTTTTGCTTTAGCTTTTCCACAGTGATTAACCTGGATCTCTTTTCCCATAATCTGAATCTATTTCTTATCCTACCCATCACAGATCAAGGATTGTTCCTTTCACCTCTGCAGAAGCCTTTCAGGTGCATGAAGACTTATCATGTCACTTTTTATTACATTCTCCAGAAGTAAATCCCATTTCTTCTTATCTGTCTTCCTAGACTACATTGCGAGACCTCTAGTGATACCTTTTGAGGCTCTGAGTTAGGCCAAGTGTTCCCAATTGAGGCCTCATCACCATTATGTTGAACGGGAGAAGCACTTGCTGTGTTCTGCAAACATCCCTTCTATTTATATAACTTAGTACAATGTCTGCAGTGCTAGAGGGTTTCATGTGCTTTCCACATTGATGTAAATTTGTAAGAGTCAGGTCAACAGCATGAAACCAAAGCACCACTGAAGCATCTGAAATGCTCTCCATTAACAACAGCTCTTATCTACTGTACAGAAGTGTTTCCTGCTAAAAGTCGCTGCACTGAAATTGCTGCCTGCTGGAGGCAATTTCATTGGGGATCTCCCTGATGGATTATATTGCCTTATTTTCTGATGCTCACATCTACTTGGATTGCTAAGGCATATTTGCTTTGTGTAAAAGTAATATGTATACAAATCAGCAACTGAATG